AGGTGAGAGACAAGGAGATCACGGATGAGACTGGGAAAATCATCGGTCTGCTCCCGTAAGTATCCTGTCCTCAATAGAATAAATGGCTAACGGAAGTCAAGGTCAGAGTATTTTCGTACAAATCTACAGCACTGTGCGGACATCGGTAGACTTGCTTTCCTTGATGCGCAGAAACGCATGAACAACCTCCAAAGTGTCGCTCGCAGCATGATTGCGCCTGAGGGCACCATCGCCTACATCATTGATCTACTCAGCGATTTGGAAGACGCTGAGGACAATCTTCCGGGAGCTATGAAGCGACTGGAAACTAACGCTGAGAACTTCAAAGCTGATGCTGAAGCTATCACCAAAAAGTTTGAGTATTGGGAGAAAGTGATTATGCATCTTCTCAAGAACTCACAAGATGCGGGGTGTACGTCCAAATCAGTATCCCACCATCTTCAATTGCTAACGATTGTCAGCGATGACTGAAGAGAAACGAACTCAAAATACAGCTGATGCTGTCATGGCAGATGCAGAGAGACAAACTAGAGAGAGAGAGGAGGAAGATGCTAAGCGAGCCATCCAAGAGCAACAGAAGTTGCTTCAAATGGCCCGGAGAGAGGTCGAAGAAGCCCAGCGAAGGTTGAATGTGCTTCTTGATCGGCCACCTATTGAGGAACCACCCGCATGGTCCGATATGAAGCACGCACGGGAGTTCGTTCCAGATCGACCAGCACCAAGTCGTGGTAGGATCTCATATCCGACTGCAGTTAATCATATGCTAACTCTTTGAAGGAGAAAAGGGCGCATTCGCCAAAGGATGGGGATATTTCTTTGGCTCCAGTGACAGCGAGGTCGCAGCAGAGAACAGGCACCGTAAGGAACATGCTGAGAGTATCGAGAATGAAAGACAGGCCTATATAGCCAGAGCAGTAGAGCACCGTGAGATGCAGAGACGAGTGGCGCAGACTCAATTGGACGAAGCCAGAGGAAACGAGTCGAAGCTCTGGGAAGAACTCAACAAACAGAATGAAAAGCTCTCGGTCAGTCATCACAGCCTCACGAAGGCTAAGCATGATCTCGCAAAGACCCATGCCGAGCTTCAGCGTCTGTGCTCTGAGAAGATTGAACTAGTACGTCTTGTCTTCCCTCTCAGCGCGCATGCTAACAGTAAACAGGAACAGATTATGAAGATCCTCGAGGAATCTATGCGCCGCCTAACAGAGCTAAAGAAGGAAGTCGAGGAGATGGCACTGTTCTTCAGCCGAGTGCAAACCGTCATCACGACGACTGTAAACGAGAACTTGCAGAGTTTCTTGAACCCAATCCAACGTGCGTTGGACAAGGGAGACAGCGTTGACAAGATCCGGGAGAGAAGCAAGCAGAATCTGCTCAGAAATGCATTTGAGCTGCAAGGACGCTTCTCGGCTACGGCAGACGTGGCTAGCATGTATGTGCTTGTTTCTAATAAGTACATTCGGCCGGGGATCAATAAGATGGAGGCGCTGGCGGCTATGAATGACGATGACTTTGAGCGGGGAAAGGAGGAGTTTAGGGATTGGTGCGACAGCGCAGCGGAGGACATTGTACGCATCACAGACGGTGAGCAGTCGAAGATGGCGGAAAATCTGACAAGGAATGTTGAAGTTCTAAGTCAGAGGGCTATAACAGGTGCTTTATAGATGGTGATGTCTAAGCTTTGTCTCCTGGAGGTAGTTTAAAGAATAAGCAGAGAGAACTAATTACTCAGTTCATGCAATATAAGTACAGTAATTAGAGCAAGCATATTGCCGCACAGCCAGTGTGATTGCCAGCAAAAGGGCGCAACTGAAGAAACGCCTCATCGCTGGCAAGCTCCCATCGTCTACTAGCTTTGGTGGCTTGGTCAAATAAACAGGCATTTACTTAGTTAGTGCCCACAAATGTTGTCACTTTCCAGGCCAATCGGGGGTTATTTCCGACCCTTTGGATGGAGCGAAGTTATCGTTGTTTAATTAGCCTGCCAAGCTTGCTCGGAGTGAGCCCGCGTCTCAGCGGTCATTGCGGCCGCATTTGCGACTGGACTAAAAGTGCAGACTCGTAAGCCCAGAAACACTTGTGAATCAATTTTATTCCCTTCATACCACTGATACTCTTATTATTAAACTTCTCAGCACTGTGTTATCCATGCTCCAGTCCGGTCATCAGTCTGTACCAGCACCAACACTTCAAAGAAATGGCACCCAGAGCCTTGGTCGTTGGTGGAACAAGTGGCATCGGCCTGGCCTTGGCCCGTCACATCGCTGCAGCCCCCGAGGCCATCGTCACAGTCTGCGGTCGCACCAAACCCGCCAATCTACCCTCAAACATCAACTTTTCACCAGTCGAAGCTACCTCGATGTGCGCAGTCAAGCAATGGACCGACAACTTCAAACAGACGCTCGCGGGGAACCAAATCAACATGCTCATCATGTCGCAAGGAACTTCCAACTTTACCGGCCGCGATGAGACCAACGAGGGAATCGACCGCAAGATGGCACTTCACTATTACGGCCGGCAACTAATTGTCCGTGAACTGACCCCCGTTCTCAAACAAGACGCCAAGGTTCTGTTCATCTTGAATGGCAAGGAAGGCTCTCCAGCTCACATCAACTGGGACGATCTGGACCTCAAAACGAGCTACTCTATGAGCACGGCTGCCCAACAGTCTGCGACTATGCTCGACATTATGGTCCAACACTACGCCGCCGTCCAAGAGGGTGGTGACAGACGGCATTACGCACATGTGTATCCAGGCGGAGTGTTGACTGGTCTTACGAGAGCCTGGCCGTGGTACATGAGAGCGGCTGTTGGTGTAGTTGGCCCATTAATCGCTGTGAAGCCTGAGACGTGTGCTGAGCGTCTGTTGGGGAGTCTTGACAATGTCACTAGTGTAAGAGAGAAGGATGGGTATTTCTGGAGCAATATCAACAGTGATGGGAGTGTGATCAAGGATAAGGCTGTCTGGAGTAAGAGTCAAAGGGAGTGCCTTGCTGAGCATACATGGAGAACCATTGATAGTGCTCTATGTGACAGTTAGAACTCTAGGCCACTGGCCCAAAACAGGAGCCTCTGAAGTGCCGGAAGAATAGGGCCTACCGACTCTCAACATCTTGCCTACGCATTTTCAGGATTCTTGTCATGTATTGTAGTATTACACAAAGATCCAGTTCAAAACTTGTTTAAGTGATGGTCCACCATGCCTATGCGCCTCCTGGACTGCAAGACCTTGCTTCATTTACCCCTGAGTCTTGGGAACCACCGATTCCGACTCAATTTTGCATATTCAATACTATCACTTGACGCACTGTCTACTGCGGACTTGTTAAGCATCGAAACTCTGTTAGCCTAGCATGACGAAGATTATGGCTCTCGATCATGAAGCAGTAGACCACAGCCTCAACTCGTAGCCAGTCAATCCGCAAAACGCGTCACCATACTTGCAAATCCGCATCCGGAGATAGGGAACATACCACACCGCAGATTCCGAACGGATCTCCCGGGCATTCCTCGGCCGCCTTTCCCGCACTGCGGATGCTCCAGGCGGACTCGGCCTCGATGGACTAAACGTCTGGATTCTCAACTTATAAAGGCGCCGGCTTCTCATGATAGACTAACCTCACAATCCACTCACTTCTCATGATAGTAGACAACCTCCTAATCCACTTCTACAGTCGACCGCCACTAGAACATCATGGTGTCTGCCAACCTCACCCTCCCCGCCACCATGCGGGCCCTCTTGCTCACAGGTCTATACAACGTCACTGTCCAAGACGTTGCAGTCCCAAAACTCGTCTCTCCAACTGATGCAATCGTCAAGTTGACCACCGCTGGTATATGCGGATCGGACCTTTATGCGTATCGAGGGTTCTCCCCGGACCAGGACCCTTATGTTCTTGGACACGAGGGCATCGGTTATGTTGTACAAACCGGCAGCGGCGTCTCTACAGTGTCTGTCGGAGACTATGTTGTCATCCCTGATAACTTCCACCACGGACAGTTGGAAATGCAGCCTACTTTCCCGGTGTCTTATGGAGGCGGAGTGCAATCTCCTGATGTATCAGGACTCCAAGGTAGGGATCACCTCGCAGAATTTGGAACAGCGCTGACTTGTAAAGCTGAGTATACTATTGTCAAGGCTGCCGATGCTAATCTATTCCGCCTTCCCATCCATCGAAATGAGACGACTGAGACTCTGGAGCAGAGTTATCTCATGACAGGAGACATCTTTTCCACTGGATGGACAGCAATCACCTGGTCTGGCTTCGAGCCCGGTGACTCAGTTGCCGTCTTTGGTGCAGGTCCAGTTGGTCTGATGGCAACATACAGTGCTCTACTCCGCGGCGCCTCTCGTGTCTACACAATCGACCACGTCCAAGAACGTCTTGACGTCGCCAAGTCCATCGGAGCCATACCCATCAACTTTGCTGAATCAGACCCAGTCACCCAGATCCAGAATCTTGAACCTTCTGGTGTGAAGCGAGCTGTGGACTGTGTTGGCCTAGAAGCTCTCAACAGTAGTCTCGCGTTTGAACCTTCAATCATTGTTCGGCAGATGGTGAACGTGACCGGCTTTGAAGGAGGACTGGGCCAGGTTGGCGTGCATGCGTATACACCTGGTACTCAAGCCGCTCTGGACCATCCTCAGCTCAGCGCTGACATTACGTTTCCGGCCACGAGTTTCTGGACAAAGTCGCTTCGGCTGCATGCTGGTATTGTGCAGCCTTACCGGATCGCGCCGCAGCTCATCAATCTGATCTCAAGCGGCGTTGCGAATACCAGTTTCATAACCACTGCGGTGATTAACATTGAGGATGCGCCTGAATACTACGAGCGGTTTAACCGTACGGAAGAGGTCAAGGTCCTGATTTCGTTCTCTCGATAATATTGCACGCGATCAGGGACCACTTTACAGGTCGTTTCTGTATACTTATTGTCATTTAGTATTATCAGGTATATAGTAATATCTACTTGCGCTTCTTATCTACACCATGCGTTCATCATATCGTAATCTGTCCATCCTCTTTTTGCATCCTCCGCAAAGCCTCGTCGTCAAGCCTCCAAACTCCCTTTGTCTCATGGTCATGAAGCTTCCATTTCGTCCCTTGGGCCAATCGATGAAAAGCTTGATGCTCATCACCCGGCACGCTCCGAAACAGCAACGGCTCCCACGACTTTCCCTGCAACTTCTCGTCTCTCCTCTTTTGCCGCTGCGCCTCTTCAACCTCGTGCTTCGCGTGAGATGCATCCCGATAGTTCCCTTGCTCTAGAGCTGATATAACTTCTCCCCATGCCCTTCTTGACTCTCGTGGATCTTGCTGCTCTACTGGGTCGATATGCATGTCTGCGGATGTCTCTGGGTCGACAGTGTATGTTTCCAACAGCTTTCCTTTGCTGTCGGTAATCTTCCATCCCTCGCTCCAGACTCCTGATAGCTTGTAGCAATGCTTCTTGGGCTCATCTTTGTGATACACCCTCGCCTCGAAGCAATTTCGCTTGCCTCGAAAGATACCAGCGCCAGAAAAGTCAATTTCCGAGACATATCCAGAGCTGGACACGATTGTGTAAGTGCCAATGATCTCTGGATAAAGACACGCCGACAGAAATCCCCTCACAGTGACGTCTGTTAGAGGAACCAGGTAATCCTCGTCAAACTTGTCGAGGTGTATAATAGCGTGTCCCATTTGCCGAATATTAATGTTTCCATTAAATGTCATCTCAACTCGTCCATACCCATCTGCTCTTATTCCATCTGCAGAGATATGCATCGCAGTGATTGGTGGATGATGGCTAACCTGCTCAACTACCAACTTGGTATCACTGTCACCCTCGCTCCAAGAAGCGAGGAAGAGCTCACCAAGAAAAGCATTGAGAGGTTTCTTGATGCTAACATTTGGAGCGCCTGCAACATACAGTTGACTTCGGAGGCCTGCTAAGAATAATTGCAGGACCGAAAGGCTTCGTTTCGCTGGATCGAGTTCTTTTGTAGGTGCTGTGAAGAGTAGGGGCTTCTTTGCCCAGCTGCCGGGATTCTCGACGACTGAAGATGGTGCTAGAAAGAACGGCGGAGCTGTGACATTTGCGAGATCTAAATCGCTTTTTAACGATGATAAAAACTAAATTGTTAGCGAGGATCGTGGCTGTTGATTAGGTCCGTACCTTGGCCAGGTCAACAAAGCGTCTGCCCATGGACTTGGAGTCATCGTGAATAGTTCTCTGAGTCTTTGGAATCGGTTCCATTTTGGTTTGCAATTATTTTACCGCCTCCTTGAGAATCTTCCCTTATATAAATACCAAAACTCCCGTCTCATCACATGCTTCAATTGCGTTTCAACACAGCCCCGTCTCACTAGATCAAACTCGCTACGACGTCAAGTCGGCCGCTAAAGTTTCAATGCCTGTCGCAAGAGAACCTGGCCAATCAGAGGGCCCCCGGAAGCTGAAATCATCCGATTTTTGAAACGGGAGAATTGATTGCCGTCGGAAACTCGAAGTACCGGCGACCAGCCTCGAATTGTTCTAGCTCACACGTCATCCTTGAATAATCGGGATTGTTTCTAGAATCAGCAGCAATGGAAGCCAATCATAGGGATCTCTTTCTACTAATTTGAACATGTGACCTTGCGTACGCTATGCAGCTGGATTATAACTGACCTTCGCTGATGATTGCAGTGGTTTACTGATGTCGCCGATAACGCAACGATAGAATCAAACCGATTTCTCAAATCCAGGCAAGCGAATGCCGGTTCACCACAGAATATCGGTTGCTAATGACCTTGATCAAGTCCTCGAGGCTCGAATCATATCTCAGCGCCGCCACGGTTGAATATCGGAATGGGTACGGGCCGGTGAAGCTCTGAGATCTCTGAACTGCAACAGATCCAGAAAGGGAAAATATCTCATGGTCAATATTCCATAATTATAGGTTCTCATATTTCAAAATGAGGTCTGCCTCCAATCTTCTGCCAAATTCTGCTGTTTGTGCCCGTAAATCTGTGCTTTAAGGACCGGCAAATTAGAAATGTGCTTTTGTTACTTGTGTTATCAGTGACGGTTTGTCGATTTGTCTGGAAGTAAAACCTTTAATAGGCGGAGTAATTCTGTGCAACGTACGAGGCTACGAGCGCAGCGAGGAAGAGCCCTCCGCTAGGAGCCCCCGGAGGGACATAACTGACAAGAACAGGCAAAACGGTTTGCTAAAGCCCTCGAAGTTGCACTAATTTTCTAGAATGCAAATCACAGCATCAACATGCAAAGGGCAGTGGCCGTTGATGATGTCCCTAGGTTAGCGCAGGAGTCAACAATATCTCCATTCGCACGATAATATCAGCATTCGAACCTTGTCGGAATTTAGGAATTTGTTCAGAAATCAGCAAAGAATCCTGTTGTCGATATTACCCTAATCCTAGCGATCCTTTCTGTACTTCGGTGCGCAGTCATCAGTCTCAACTTCTAGTTTGTGTTGATTAACCTAGGGGTTTATAGATAAGCTTCAGCCACAAAACTCAGCCCTTCACGTTGACATCATTCAACGTCTCAACAGTTTTGAAGCCGTTCGTCATCATCAGTACTGATCTACCGGACTTGAAAATGTCCGCAATCTAGTTTTCCGTCGGTGCTAAATCTAGGGTTTTCGCGACTTTTCAAAGCAGAAACAGATTGCAGATCATCCCCATTGCGACAGTCGCGTGAGTGGCAGGTATACGGGCTCTATGGGTCCAATCTTACTGTTTCGATTCACGCGTCTCTGCTAATTGTGTGTAGATCACTGGAGTCTTTGCTAACGTCATTATCGTCGTCGGAGCGGGATGGAACGGCAGTTTCTGAACAGACTTCCGGATAGTGATGCCTCCGAAGTCCCAACGGCAGGCCAAACTCAATTCTCAAGTCACGCTTCCGGCAATGGCGCTCGGACCGTCGTTATCGATGTCACTGCCGATTGAGTGCCGTCAAAGGCGTAAGACCATAGTCAATGTACCCTATCGAGATATCTTGTAGTGACCAATTGGCACCCAATCGTATTTCCGAGCTCTTATCCGACTCTCGGACAGTAATCCGATCAATCAGTCTTGCCAACCACTCAACAATGTCTCTTAGTAAAGGTCTTGTGTCAATATTCCTTGGCTCAATCTTTCTGAATCTCACAAATGACTTCCCCAACCTTGTTGGCAGATCACTGGGGTATTCCAGTTCTATCCCCACAGCCAAGCCACGCTGGCCCCTCAAATTGCTTCATCTATCGAACAGTGAAGATCATGGTTCAGTTGAGTACCCGCGGGTACGTTCTTGGCAGGTGTTCCTTCCTCGATGTTTCCCTGATTTAAGCTTAGAACAAGGTTGGCCAATGGTGAATTGGTTACATCCAGATCTGGACATGATTCCCAATTCAGTAATCCCTGCGGACCGCGGTGACGCTGGCTCACGCATTGTATCACGACGAGATGCTGCTTATCGTTACAGATACGCGACTTTACAGCTGCGCCGAGTTTGTGCGATCATACGGCATCACTGCGGCTTGGAACCCTCCGTAGATTAGGCTGTAGCCTCCACGAAAATTAGCCTCTACGCAAATCGTGCTAACCTCCACAGTGTAGATCTGTAACCACCGCGGATCGGAACTTTTGATACAATGACGTGCGTCGATACCAGATAAGCTTAATCATTGTCTTTATCAATGTCTCATACGCGTCAATGAGTCAAGCAGTTCCCCTACTCAGCCACGGGTCACTAAAAAGGATCGACATTGCTGACTCGTCACAGCGACGACGATCCTGATAAGCTAGCCAAGCCCAAAATTCACATACCGTATCACCAATCGTTAGTTACACAATTGATAAAGTTGGTTTTACGCTTATTATCCACGAGGACATGAAACTGCAGGAAGCCTCATGTTTCCATTTCGGACTCCGATTACGCGGCACGTTGTACATGTAGGCAGCCTGGATATCCGTTGAACGCTTGGCGATAACTGATCGCAAGATGCGGTGACTGACGAGGAGATAAATGAGGTGCCAAGATATGGAGAGAATGGGTGCCAAGTTGTGAGCCGAGTGAGGAGGCTCAAGAGAAGTGAAGAGTGTAGATCAAAGTGTCGATCATCCAGCTAACCACTCACGGAATGTCGTTCTAAGGCTAGATCTAGATAGCTGAAAGGTAGATTCCCCTGTGGCGGTCAAGTGCCGTGATCCACACTTGCGGGCGGGAAAGGCTTACTTGGCCAGATGGGCAAATCAAGGAAATGCAAGGAAATGTTGTGACACAAAACATGACAAAGATTGCACAATGTTTCACAGACAATTCCTCCTTTACATGTGAAAATTTGCAAAAAAGCAATATACGCAAGGGTGATGAATAGTTTAATTACTAGGCTCAACCGAACGGTTGGGTTGTTATCAGGCTGTTATATGGCAGGGATCTAAAACCCCAGACTAGGACACAGACAGCTTCCGAAGGCCTCCCCTCAAGATTACGGCTCCGGAGTCATGACGGGGGACAAGCCCCGGCTTGGCACGGGACGAGGGATCCACTCAATAAGCGTACTCACAGCCTCAATGACCCGCAGTAATATCGCCTGGAGCTTGGCAACAAGCCAGTGCCATATCACAAACAAGCAAAAAAGATGTCGCAAGCTAAGCTCAGCAGGGAGTACCTTGTAGATAGGTGCCCGATCTCGACTGCAAACAAACCAAGATGCAAACAGGCCAATCAGAGACACCGTCTCACCTCGTGTCTAAGCCCGAATGTTTCCCAACTTCCCCTATTCAGGCCAAGACGGGATCTCACTGACAGAGGCTCAACAAGGGATCGCCGTTCTTGGGATAGCTTGGCAAGGAACACCAAGAAGGGAATTGCGCGTCACATTTGAATAGATTCAGAGATAGCGGGTCTGTACTCCATATCACAGAGGCATGGCTTGGAGTGATTCAGGGCTGTGCACAAGTATAAGGATGTCTCCCTCCTCCGGTTTCATAAGACTTTATCATTTCATCTCTACAGACAAAATGGCTTCATTATTTCGACGACAGGACCCGGACCCCGAGCTGTGTGTGAAGTATGCTCACTTTGCTTCTCATATGGTGCGATGGCAGTTCAAGATTATCTACTGGACCATGTTTGTGTCCAACTTATTGGTCTTGTTTGTTGCTTCGTGGACATATATCCGGTGAGTTTAATGACGCCGGGATGAGCCGGATGATTTGAATGATTTGATCTAACAAGAACAGTGGCCAAGCAGCTATGGAGAAGCTTGCTCATAATCCCAAAGCACGAACGAAACGAATACGGCAGTCGGTCGCCATGTGTCTTGGATGTGTTTCTGTCTCAACAGTCATCGTCGTCATGGAAGCGTACTCCATTCTAGCGCTTCAGTTTTGTGACGGTGAAGACCTCATCTCACTTTATTGGTCCACGTGGACCATGATTCAAGTTGGTTCATTGATTGCCATGATTGGTATCATTCTTGCATTGGCACATACCCTTCGTGGAAGACAGCATCCGTAAGTCTCATCTATCATTCACTCGTCTCATGTTACACTCGCTGACGGTTCAGACCATGGGCACTTGCATTAGGTACACCCGTCCTTGTGATTGCCGGATTTCTCCATCTATTCCACGACTGCACGAAGAAGCGAATTCGAAGTCGTCGTCAGAAGAAGGACTTTGAATTTGGGCCTCCGATGAGTCAAGCGTAAGTGCCATCATTGCAGATGTTTCAACTTTCAGCTGACACAAACAGTAACACAATTTCGGTCAACCCCGATGAGGAAGAGGACATTGAATACAAAGCACAAGTAATCGGGCTTACATTCGATGGTGGTCCCATCATTCGATACACAGATGCTGTGCCCGAAACCTTACCTGAGCACGCTGAACTCTTGGGATACTGTGCACAGAAGAAGCCTATCGTCATGTGCAAACGCGAGAGTGTTCAATTTCTGATGGACTCTCCCGCACAGTTACCGCCATCAGCATCACCGGCTTTCCGCAAGGGTAACTGAGACATTCTGTTTCGCACCTTGCTAGCTGATGAGGCATCCAACGGGCGACAGGGGACGAGATAAGAATTTGAGCGTCAAAGCACGCCAAGACAAGGGAGATGCGCTTTGACTTTATGCGTTGTTGTCGCCTGAACTAGCAGGCATTATACTTGGGATTATGTGTTTGGGTTGCTTGGGAGTTTTGCTATAGATAATGGCGGTGGACAACAACGGAAAAGGAGGAATGGGATGGACATGGTTTGGTGCGATGGTCGGAAAAGTGGCTTCATGATACTGGAGATAAGATACCCTAGCGATAAGATAATAAACGGTTTGTGCTTTCATAACTTGTTGCATAAGATGTGCATATGTGCATAGACTGTGTCATCGAGATCTGTGATGTCAGCGATGATCTTTGATGATTTTGATCTAGAATTTGAGTTTGACCGATGACGGAGCTCTCTTATCGATAGCGGGGTGAATGCCCCTCATCGCCGGTTCGGCCAATGTTTTGGTCGGCTTAGTAAATAGCTTTCAAATCAGAGCGATCACCGTAAAGATTTACAATAAACGCTTTATTTCGTGACCACGCGCAACATTCATTTACCAGCGATCCCTTCTCTTCGATACCATTCGACACATCCAACCCATCCGACACATTCCTTCGCATCATTCACATCTTCGCGATGGGCCTCACAAAGGTCAAACACATCATCCTGGTATGTTACCCTACGCCGCTCGCTTCAAGCGTTACTCACGAAACAGGTCCTCTCAGGCAAAGGAGGAGTAGGCAAATCATCAGTCACAACACAATTAACATTGTCGCTCGCTTCAGCCGGTCACTCAGTCGGCATTCTCGACGTCGATTTAACCGGCCCTTCCATCCCCCGCATGCTCTCAATCGAAGAGTCAAAAGTCACACAAGTACCAGGAGGATGGGCGCCCGTGTTAGTACATGAAGGAGACTCATCCAAAGGCCTCGGGTCTCTACACGCGATGAGTCTAGGCTTTCTCCTCCCGAGGCGAGGCGACGCAGTTGTTTGGAGAGGACCAAAGAAAACAGCAATGATCCGACAATTCCTCAAAGACGTGCTCTGGGACGAGACCGACTTTCTACTCATCGACACACCACCCGGAACAAGCGACGAACACATATCCCTCGCCGAAACGCTCCAAAAAGACGCACTGCCGGGCCAAGTCGCGGGCGCAGTGGTGGTCACAACACCCCAAGCCGTAGCGACAGCAGACGTACGAAAAGAGCTCAACTTCTGCACCAAGACCAACATCCGGGTATTGGGAGTCGTGGAAAACATGAGCGGCTACGTGTGTCCGCACTGCTCCGAGTGCACCGACATATTCGGGTCTGGGGGAGGGAAGAGCATGGCGGAGGAGTTTAGCGTTCCGTTCCTGGGGAGTGTTCCTATGGATGCGCAGTTCATTTCTCTGGTTGAGGAAGGTAGACGACCGACATACCCGTCTGGTACGACGGTGAACGGGAAGGATATTTCGGGGAGGGACGGTGAGGAGGGGGAGGGGGGGAGCTTGGTTGATAAGTACCGGGATTGTTCACTGTTTCATGTATTTGGAGATATTACAGAAAAGGTCCTGACAAACGTGGCTAATTGATCCACTCGCATCAGGCAGTTAGCATTCAACATGGCCGTTTCACGCGAGCGCAGCGAGGAAGAGCCCTCCGCTAGGAGCCCCCGGTGGGGAACACCAAAGTACAAGAGCAGAAATGTCTGTGTCTCTCTGTATGTCTTGTGCGTGTGTCTCATCGGCATTGACTCACTCAGGCACATGCATTTACGAACCCAACCATAATTGGCTCACTGCAGAGCGAGGTGACTACATCCTCACAGCCTCTCTTCCAAGAAAGTTACAATGACGAAACTCGTGTGGCCATTACAAGGATCTCCCAAGCCCTGCCCCACCAAACCCAAGCCGCCAACCCAGTAAAAGGCACCCTCCTCGCCTCCCAAAAAAGCTCAGCGCTGGTGGAATTTTTTATTTTTCTCGTAAAAAAACCTGCAGTTCTCGGCCCAGAAGCCGGGGACACGCTCTGCTTCCCCGTGGTCGCAGGCTTGTACAAGGACCTGGCATTGGGCAGCATTTGACGAGTCGCGCTACGTAGCTCCCACTAAACTGTACCTTACAGCTCTGTTTGGGTTGGTTCGGGCTGGCCTGGGGGAGAGAGAGAGAGAGAGAAATAGCACCGCCTTATTGAGACCTTGGCACATTGGATCGGGATGCGAAGAGAGAAATTTGTTGTCTGCTTGTAAAAAAAAATAAACCCCAACCCCTCCCACTTCTGTCAAGAGACCCAAAATTCTCTCACCGACAGAGGAGCATAAACAAACAATCAGTCACTTGGTCTCTGAATTTCCATCTGTTTTATTTTGCTGTCCTGTATTCACCTCGTCTGCTTTATCCCTCTGCCTCACATCCTCTGCTCACGCGACCGCAAACTTGGCTGCAAGTTCAATGTCGAATAAACGTGTCTAATCTCTCAAACAATCGACGGTTCTCTCGATACCGTCACTGACCTTTCTCGGTTCCTTTACTGGGCTTCTATGCGGCCGACGGATCTTCTGCGCTTCCTCTTCTCTCGACCTTCCAAGTATGTTCAGCCAGCATCAGAGACTATACTGTCACAGCATCAGACCAAGACTGACCATTTCCAGGCCCCGATAGCACCCCTTCAACGAACATCCACCGATTCACATCTCCCAAGTAACCCTCACTGCCACAATTCCGTCAAAAGAGCTCTACCACTTCATCCGCTCGCGACCCCCCTAACGTCCCCGAGGCGTTACCCCCCGATCGATCGATTGCTGCTGGCTCCGCCAGCATCTGAACAAGTCCCCGTACCTGTGGGCCTACTCTCTCAAACAGACGCCGCATAGTCTGTTTGAGCGGCAGCTAGTGCTCCGCGGACTCTGCCACCGGGCAAAGAACACTGACCAACCGCCGCCATCATGACCTCCGTCCCGTACAACTGCACCTTTTCGCCCGCCTCGGCTACTCCTCATCTCACCATCAACCATGATGTAGCCGCCGACCTCGACTCGACCAACGCTTTTGAAGGTCCCGAGAAGCTTCTCGAGGTTTGGTTCGCTCCCAGCCCGACGACTCTGCCTCCCACTGCTCCTGTCAATGGTCTCAAGGCTGTTCCGGCTGATACCTGGGTTCCCATGCTTGATATGGTCAATTGCAAGGTCCTGTCTGTTCTTGAGAGTGAAATGATGGACGCCTATCTTCTCTCCGAGTCGAGCATGTTTGTCTTTCCTCACAAGATCATTCTCAAGACCTGCGGAACCACTACCCTTCTTCTCGGTCTTCAGCGAATGCTTCACATTGCCGCCAAGCATGGATTCCCATTCCACAATGCCAACTCGGCCGACGACATCCAAGCAGCCGCAACTCCATACCGAGTATTCTACAGTCGCAAAAACTTTCTCTTCCCCGAGAAGCAGCAAGGCCCCCACCGCAGCTGGAAGCAAGAGGTCAAGTATCTTGACGACATGTTCGACGGAGGTAGTGCCTATATGGTAGGCAAGATGAACGGCGATCATTGGTATCTGTACCTCACCTCACCCAACCAGCAAGCCCTCACGCCCCCTCGCACCCCCGGTGAGGTCGAAGGCACCAAGATCCCCGTCGGGACGTCCTTCAACGGCCTCCCGAGCAGTTACCACGACGAGACGCTCGAAATCCTCATGACGGATCTGGATCCCGAAAACGCCAAGCAGTTCTATCTGTCGCACGCGAGTGCGGTCGCCAGCGACAAGATGGCTGCAGAGGCCAAGGATGCACGCAAGGAAGCCATCAACAGCCTTGGAGGGCTTGCCGAGACTGTTGACGAGGTTGATGTTTTCGCAAATGAAGACGACACCATGCTCGACTCGATCGAGGCCCTGACCACTGAGGGCCACGCATTGGGAACTGTCGTCTCGGAGAGTTGCGGCCTCTCCAGCGTCTACCCAACCAGCAAGTATCCCGATGCGCGAGTCGACGCATACCTGTTCAGTCCCTGCGGCTTCTCGGCCAACGGCGTCGTCCCTCCCGAGGCTGGCAAGGGTGAGCATTACTTTACGGTTCACGTCACCCCGGAGCCTCAGTGCTCGTTTGCTTCATTCGAGACCAACGTGCCTGGTGGTCAGAGCGGACGCACCACAACTGAGATCATTGAACATGTTGTCGACATCTTCAAGCCCGGTCGTTTCAGCGTCACTCTTTTTGAAGCAAAGGGTGCAGCCCAGAACCCATACTGCATGGGTGATGATGACTCCAACAATTGGGCTGCCAAGCGTCTTGTTGATCCTGTCCGAGGATACAGACGCATTGATCGTATTGTTCATGATTTTGAGGATTACGATCTTGTCTTTCGTTTCTATGAACGTGAAGGATGGGCTGGAACCAAGAATGCTCGTGTTGGAGAGCCTGTCAGTCCTACCAAGTGATTTCGACATTGGACTCGTTTGGATTCATTTGGACTCGTTTGGATTCATTTGGACTCGTTTGGTGTCATTGATGCGATGGATGATACAGTCATTTCCGAGTGTCTAGCATGATGTATTTGTCATTTCTTGAGATAGCTTCGCTCTTTGATAGCTTTGAGATCGCTTTTGAACATTATTTTGAATTGATCATTTTGCGACAACTTTTGCGACAGCCACTGAAGAATGCCCTGAATGGTGCCCTGTAATGATAATCAGAACCTAAAATTAGTGCATGCACGCTAAACAACCTTGTACCGGGTGTCCAAGATTGACAAAACTCTGTGTGCGGAGTAAAGTCTGTTGGCAGTGCACACTTGTGTCACAATTTTATCCCCATTCACATTTTATCCCAAAGCTCACATTTGTCTCAAACTCAGACCCCCAGTTACCGATAACGATAAGCCTTGCACGTGATCCCAGCACCGTCAAAAAATTCTTTGCTCAATCTTTGTAGTGCAAAGCTCAGCATCACTAAAACCTCACAATCAATCACATCAACCCGCCGCAATGCATCTCATGTACACCCTCGACGCCCAAGGCAATCGCCTGTACACCCTCAAGAAGGTCGCCCAAGGACAAGTCACCAAGTCTGCCCACCCCGCGCGCTTCTCCCCCGATGACAAGTGGTCGCGCCAGCGCGTTACTCTCAAGCGACGATTTGAGCTTCTCTTGACTCAGCAGAGTGCGTCTCCCTCCCTCGCTCACTGACTCTGGACAATTACTGACTGATGTGTCTTAGAGGACGAATAAATCACACATGACGGGCGTTACGGTTCAGTTTGGGCGTTAGACTAAAAGTCTCAATACAACTACTAGTGCTTCTTCTTCGAGTTTACATTTCTTCCCGCTCCAACGCGAATCTTTTGACCGCCTCCTGCACGATGCCCCGTTAATAAATCGGGCAGATAATCCTGATCCATGATATCCTTCTTCCTCTGACGTCTCTGCTCCTCTCCCGCGCGCGTAAACTCCTTCTGATCCTCCGCGAGGATCAGATTATTTCCCCAGCCATTCTTTCCACCCGCATTCTTCGGAAGACGACCATTCGCAGAGCCGTGAAAAGGTTTGGGAACACTGTAGACATTTCCACGATTGTTCCACTGAAAGTTCTTCTTGAGATGGATCTTGAAGTTGCCGTGCTCATCGGTCGAGCAGCTCACTCTGTTGAGGGTAGGTTGGCCGCACGAAGGGCAGAATTGCTTGCTCATTTCTTTGGTGATCTTGAAGCAGCCGTGGCAGCGTAGAACCCAGTTCTTGAGATGTGTGATTCGTGCGAGGGATGGTGCGACGAGGTTGAGGTTCATTCGGAGAGCGACGTTTTGCATGGCGTAATCGGATGTGAGGACTGCGGCTTGGAGGGTCTTTTGGACGGGCGCTGAGGGTGTCGCTCCGGTGTCTGCTGCTTGGTGCTTCTTGAGGTTTGAGGGTGTGATCCAGCCGCCTTCATCGTCGGAGGCGTCGCCGTCGGATGCCTCTTCAACGGCTTCGATTGTTTCGTCGGCTTTTTCGCCAGGCTGCGCAGTCTCTGCGGTGGCGGTCTCTTCAATCGTGTTTGTTGTAGTCTCTGTGACCTCTGTGACTGAATCATCCTTGGACTCTGGCTCAGGGACAGTCTCTGCGACAGTGTCTTTTGCCTCTGACTGACTGGATTCTCCGACCGTAGCCTGCTCAACAGGGTTCTCAATGGTCAGATTGTCAACAGCCTTCTCTAGAGTCTCCTCGACCTTCTCAGATTCAGTCTCAGTCTTCTCACACTCAGCAGGCTTGTTTGGCTTTCCATTCAAACCCTTCTGACCAGGCGTCTTTCTCAATCTCCAATCTCCTCCATTTCGCTCACACTCCAACTCATACCCCAGCGCCAAGACATCAATATCAGGCTTGCTCAGAACCGCCAAATCTCCTGTTCTTCTCGCAAAGTCTCGAATGACTTTTACGCTCTCGGGGTTGGGCGATCGCAGGGTGATGAAGGGTAGAAGCGTCGTCTCTACTCGTGCTCGTGTGGCGGCATCTCGAATTTCGGATATAATGCAGGGGAGGGTGTAGAGTTGCTCAGCTTTCGCGCGGAGGGTATTTGCGGGGGGGTCGTTCTTGATTAGAGGGCCTGTATCAAGTACAAGGCTGTGAATGGGCTTGTGAGGCGCTGCGTCTGAAGACATGACGATGGTTACCCAGTGTTTGGGGATTTGGATTGGCGATAATTTCTGTGGTGTTCATCGCGGGGCAAACTGGAATTTTTGGAAAGATAAGAGATAAGATAAGATAAACATTTTGTCATTGCACGTGAAGACGTGCATAAATTCATCAGCCAAGGCTAAGTTCATCGGGTAGCGTTCAAGTTCATCGAGGCTTGTGCACAACGTGCATTATTAATTGTTGCTATCGAACTGATGTCGCCATTTACATGTTGCTCTTGAATTGATACCGCCATTTAATTGTTGCTTTCAAACTAAGACTCTCATATTGCGCCATACCTTTTCTCATACATTGACACGAAGGGCGTTACACCTTGTCTCGCCAGTGACTCTTCACAGGGCGCGGTCGACATGACAAGGTGGTTGATTAATAATGGAGAATGCCGTCAAAACTTACCGTGATGGTCTCGGAGGGTCACCCGAGGAAAATAGTCTGATCTCGCGTAAATCGGTGGCTTTTTTTGCTGGCTGTGACTCGAATTGTCAAGACGTGCTATTTCTGCCGACGTCGGATTCAGCCGTAAGACGGGGGATAGATGATGAATCTGACAAATGTAAGATGAAAAACAAGTGCAAAGTTAACGAGAGACAGACAGCTAGACAGAACAGCCAGAGTTTGACGGTCGCAGAGCGGGCAGAGTAGAACAGAGACTGAGAAATGTCATAGAAAACTTCTCATCACTCGATTTTTACGTACAAGACCCGCCGTAAATCCCCAGTGGACATCTACAAAACATCTCCAGTGGGTCCATCTCCAAATCTCCAAATCCAAAGCCCAAGATCAATATGTCTACAAACTTATCAATCGGATAAACGGGTGTAAGCACGTCCTCAAATGACGAAAAATAAGCTTAGCTCTACACGGCTTAAATTTCCGCTTGAAAATGACTACGCCATGATCTATTTCCAGGCCGGGGTCGGATCGGATGGCACCTTTTTTTTTACATGCGCCCTACAACATGTCAACAAGCTAGGGATGGTATGGATGGATGGATCAATCAATGGGTCAATCACAACAGGGCGCAGAGGAGCAGAGACAGAGATATAAATCCTGGGGGGGTCAGCTGAGTTGGATTTTGGTCAAATAATCTTCATCACTGAGCTTCACTTGACTTTGCTTGAACTCTGAACTCCATCAGCTACAATGGCAGCCAAGGTTCCGTCGTTTGTTGACGTTCAGGTCACAAAACTGCCTACCTCTCCCCCAGAGTATGAACATCTCGGCATCCATCGAAACGGAAGCATTCATCCTTGGGGCTCAGCACATGCACTGGCATCGACTCTGAAAGGAAAAATGACAAAGAAGCCAGAAGTACAGATCCTCATCAATGGCCACTTCAACTCAAAGGTGTACACCACCAACTCTGAAGTCTCTGGTGTCGTCAACATCACGCCTGCTAGAAACACTCGCTACGATCGAGTTGACATTTCTCTCGATGGACTTAGCGAGACGCGGAGGGATGGTCCTGACATGACACACATGACATCCCATCGATTCCTTCGCCTCGAGATGCCAATCGACGAGTATCCTAACGATGTCCTTGAAGCTGGCGTCACTTATACATTCCCCTTCATCTTCAATATCCCAGCTCATCTCTCCTCCAAAGCATGCACTCACAAGACTACCTCGGAAGATGTCTGGGAACGACACATGGCGCTGCCTCCAACGCTCGGCGGTTGGGAAAAAGACGACATGGCACCTGATATGGCGCGAGTGACATATAGCATCAAAGCCTATGTCCTCACACGAGCTAAGCAGGGTTTCAACATTACTCTCGGCAACTCCCATACCATCAACGTGATGCCGACATCCTTCGAAGAGCCTCCTCTGAACATCACCGAACGAGACGATTTATACAAGCTTGAGAGGTCCAAGAAGGTCAAGAAGAACATCTTTTCTGCTTCACAGGGCAGAATCTCTGCAGTGGCGGCTCAACCAGCTGCTATCCATCTCACCAAAGAGGGCTACGAAGCTAGCGGCTCTTCAATTCCCATCAGCTTTACTTTCGAACCCTCTGCCGCTGATGTGATTCCTCCGCAATTCACATCTGCTTCTCTCAAGATTCAGTCTCATACTTGGTTCCGCGATCAACCGATGATGAACCTACCAACACAGGGATCTTCGATTGCAAACTTTGGATATCCATTCTCAGTATCCCTCCCAAAGGCCTCCCCCAAGGTCCAATGGACTCAGAATGTCGACATGGCAAGCACCAAGGATTCGCCCGTCTTTCACACAGCTACAGTCGAAATTCCGTTCAAGCTGCCTACAGCCGATAAGATGTTTGTCCCAACATTTCACTCCTGCATTATTTCACGAGCATACACGGTCAAGGTCGTTTTGGAGGGCGATGTCAAGATGGACTTGACAGTTCCAGTGCAAGTGGTTATGGGAACACCCGATGTCTAGGAAACTTTCGTTAGTGTTGCTTTGGGCTAGTTTGGCGTTTTCGGGATGCTCCAGTTTGAGGAGAGATGAAAAGATATCCAGGCGAGCATTATCCGATAGAGTTATATTTATTAATAGTAATTGTTTGTCATGATCATTGCCCCAGGTTCCCCAGATCCACTGCGTAGCTGAAAGCTTGGAATGTGCCGTGTCCACAGTCTACATGTCGCCAAGATTAGATGCCGGCCGTGGAGATGGTCTAGGGTCAGACTTCGTGTGCGGATGAGTGAGCTTATAGTTGAAGTCATGATCTTTGTAAGCATGAAGGATGCTGCAACGCGTTGTTGGCAGTTGAGTAGTCGCGTCGCAATGAACCGTTAGTGCGATGACTGCGATGTAACCAATTAAATGACACTAGCAACACGCAATTGGACAAAACCAGTCAGACTGCTACCAAAATCTCTTTGGGGAAATTCCCGGTCGTTGTAGATGAGCCGCATTGAAGCTGTCACTGCCGATAGCGGCCGTTGGATCTTACATCAGCGGGAATGACGAAGTTGTTAGGGGAATTAACCCGGACTTAAGAGCAGTTGAGCTGGCAGAGACACACTGAACAAGGGTCACAGCTTCAATCTCCGGATTGTGTTCTGAAATGTAGGGTAAGATGGTGGTTTGATCGAGTCAGCACCAACGAGACGGCAACGTCATATGTTTCATAAGCCAGCATTTTGTACGTATTTGAGGCCCGCTCGACGATTGAGGACTTATTCTATATATCACAATTTCACGCGAGCGCAGCGAGGAACAGCCCTCCGCTAGGAGCCCCCGGAGGGAACACCAAGGTCAGACTCAAGGAATTACCCCATCAACTACGCGACTGTCTACATCGCGACAACACAATTAAACAGGCTAAATTACCCTATACTCTCCTACGTTAGAGTCAGATGATCGACATTCTCATTACTATTCTAGTCCACCCTGCACAAACTAACTTTTAGCCCAATTTCACCCGTTAACTGCCGGAATGCCCTCTCTAGCCCGTGTCCCTCTCCCCTCTCCAAAAACCCAATCTCTCACGTACAAATAAACTCCAACTCCAAGTCTAGAACTCTCTCACGATACTCCTCAGCTCCGTGCACTCGGGGTCGGCCGTTTACGGATGCCTTGAC